AATTAAATGTTGAATGGCGGTTCATGCAGAAAAAGAACATATCAATATTCGCATATTCATTCAAAAACATGAAAATTCTTAATGGAGTACCCTCATTTCTTATTGAATTCTAAAAAACAATATTTATAATGAATTTTAATAAATTTTTTGGATTTTTTTTAAGTCATTATTCTGACCGATTCACCCGATTTTCAATACGGATTGTCGATTCACTGATCCGGATCGATTTTTTGAAAACCCGATCCGGATCACTGATCCGTTTTTTAAACCATTGGTTTCACAGGTTTCACATTGATGTGAAACTTTCACATAATGAACTTTCCCATCAATGTGGAAAAGTGTGTTCTCGACTAAATAGGTGGCGGGTTGCCTTCTCACTTTCTAACATCAATGCCGGGAAAGACAGAAAACAAAACCTTTCCCTGCAATAACTATTACTTTCTAATAAAACAAATATACGAAAGCCCTAGTTGAATGGGAAAGAACTTTCTCAAAAATTCTTTCCCACGGAAAATATGTGCCTTCGTTTTGTAAGTTTTCCAAAGCTTTCAAATTGGGGGGGGGGAGAGAGAGTTACTGATTTCTAGTGATTTAATAACGTGAAAACTATAGAATTTAGGCTCTCCAACATGGTTTTTTTTCTTTGGATGGGGGTGGGGTGTGGGAGAGAGAGTTACAAAGTCATCACTGGCCAAACTCGGAACGATCGGTTAGATCGGAACCTGGCACTGGCCGGTTCTAGTTTTAGTGATCCAGTTGGGTATTTTTTAAAAAAATTATATAAAATTTTAAAATTGAGAGAGTTGTTTGTAATTCATTTTTGAATGTTTTATATTATTTTGGCAAATATTGGAAAGTGTTTTGTCCATGAATACTTATTTTTTACATTTTTTCATTTTTTTAAAAAAATTCAAAAATACCCCTAAGCAAATTAATTTTTCAAAATCTATTTTTTCACTAATATTCAACTTCATTTGGATGTGATTTGTTTATCATGTTTTATATATAAATTTTATATTTTTTATATTTTTATTTTTTAATAAACCAGGGTTTACCGATTACTCAGGACAGGCCCTTGGCCGGTTTCCGGGGCCGTTTCAATTTTTCGAGCACACTGGTATGAAAATCAGTGGAAGCTAAGGTCTCCACCATGTGCTTCTTCATGATAAGTTAGCATTGATACCCCCCACTCAGCTTATCAGGTTGGGGAAAAGTAACCAAATGGTGATGATTTCATTAATCAAACTCATATTAAATTCCCAAAACAAAGGTTTCAATTATTTTCAAAGTTTTCAATTGTTCTCTCTTTTGTCTGGTTTCATTAATAATAAAGAGAGAAATTATTATGGGGTCCCCGGCTTGTTTCGTTTCAAAGGTACAAAAGGATTCTTTCATTCCCCGTACAAACCTTGAGAGAGAGAGTAGTCATGCACTGAATTCAATTCTTTCATTCATTTCATTCCCCGTACAAATTATGGGATGTGGCATTCACACAAATGCCACTGCAGCAATAATGTAGAAAGAGAAAATTTACCAAATTTAAAATTTATCTAGTTTTTTTTTTTTTTTGGTGTGAGAGGGGGAGTCAAGAGGGAGGAAGGCCTCTGCCTGTTTTTATTTATGAGAATGGAGGAAATATAGATAAGTTTTTTATAACTCTACAGTAGAACAATTGTGCCAAATCATAAAGTAAAAGAGAAAAAAAAAATTTTGGTGGTCTAAACCGCTAAACTGTGGCATCATGTTGCCTTCTACGCAAGTATATCCGCTACCATGTTGGCATCTCGATAGATATGAGATATGGTTCACCTACGATTCGAGAGACAAATGTCAGTAATTAACTGTTACCATGTGAAGATCTCATGGAGCTCTACAGCCCCCTCGAATGGCATTTACTAGCAATGATGAATTACTTTCAATTTGGATTGGCTCTCGCCGTATCAACGCCCACCTTCAAAGCATTAAATTCTGCATAATTATTGGATGCAATACAAAAAAAAAAAACAAAAGCAACAATAAAGATACCACTGTTGTACTTGATAACACCCCCTCCACCGGCCATAATCTGGTTTTGAAAAGATAGCCATCAACATTAAACGTAAAATGTTGAGGACGAGAAAAAAACCAAACGACTAGGATAAATTCTGAGTAGTTCAACAAGTCATGATAAGTTGATTCTAAATTAATAAAAAATACTCTCTCACATACACATACTCACTCATGATAAGATAAAATTTAACAAATTTGAATTCTGTGAAACAAAATTCATTATCAGTTTGCTTTCAAAGTAATAAAAAGATTCTCTCTCTCGTAATAATGTTGACAAAATTTATTGCTCTTTAATAAATTTGCATTCTACGTAGTGTTATTATGTTTGATTCCGAAGCAATAAAAGACTTTCTCTCACTAAATAGTAAAAATGGTCTCCCTCTCTCTCTATCTCTATGTACTAAAAATAATCTCTCTCACTAAGTAGTAAAAATGGTCTCCCTCTCTCTCTATCTCTATGTACTAAAAATAATCTCTCTCTCTCTCTAGGCTGGAGAAACAGTGCAATGTCTCCGACCATCCTTGGAAACTACGAAAGCATCCAAGAAACTGCCATTAATTTTACCTAAATAAATAAGGACCAATTCAAAAATTGTATTAGAAGAAATTGTTTTGATGCTTAAATGTCTTCAAAAGTTCAAATTGATCATCTCGACGTCAAGATGCATAGACATGAAAAAAAAATAGATTTGAAGTTTAAAAAATAGTACATCTTGTAAAGCATATTTGGACCGTAAGTTTTCAAATTTTCATGAATATGCTCGATCTACATTATTTTTGAAGATTTAAATTTTATAATTAGATGTAAAAATATATTTTAAAACTATCACAAAGATTGCTAGTATTAAAACCATATTTCTCGACACCATGTGACGGTAGGCATTCCTTTGATTGTTTAGAGCCTCGGCTCTATACAAACCGCACCCAACAAATAAACACCTCATCCATTTACTATTCTATCATATAACCCATAATTCCTTTTTATGCATCTTTAATTTATCATATTTATAAGGAAAAAGTTTACATAGAGCCGAGGCTCTAAACAATCAACTTAAAGCCCCGCCTCAAAAATTTCATTAGAAGAGGTAGTTTGATGCCTGAATATCCTCGAATTGATCATCTTGTTATCAAGATGCATGGACATGAGAAAAAAATAGATTTCAAGTTTTGGAAAAAGTGCATCTTGTAATGCATTTTTGGACCGTCAATTTTCGTGATTTTCAAGTTTTCATATATCTGCTCGATCTACACCATTTTTTAAACTTTAAATTTCATAATTAAAGATGAAAATATATTTTAAAGCTATCATCAAGATTTACAGTATTGAAACCACATTTCTCAATACTATTTGAATGTACATTTACTTTAATTGTTTAGAGCCTCAGCTGTATACAAACCGCACCATAAATAAGACTAAAATGCTTTTTTATTTTAAATGTTGAGAAGAACGAAAATCTTCCCCTAATTTAATTGAAAAAGATAAAGATAAAGACATATTTAATGGAAAAAATTTATATAAGGTTGCAACCTTAGAATGTAGAATTAAAGTTGCACCTCAAAAATCTATCGGAAAAAGTTGTAATGTTGAAAAACCCTCTAATTGATCATCTCGACATCGTAATGTATGAATATGAAAAAAAAAAAAAAAAAAAAGAAGAAGAAAGAAAAGATCTTAAGTCCCAAAAATAGTGTATCTTACAACACAATATCTAGAATGTCCATTTTCAAGATTTTCATATGTTTATAGATCTATTTGGTTTTAACCATTTTTGGAGTTTAAAATTTTATAACTAGATATGAAAGTAGATTTTCAAATAATCTTAAGAAGTTTTTACATCAAAATTAATGTTATGATTGAATTTGGAGGTGTACCTTAATTGGATTGTTTAATGTTGCAACCTGATAGAAACCACACCCATATTTAATGGTGAAGTTTATAAATACAAAAAGGGACCATGGTTGGTGAGCTTGAAAGGAGCCCATTAATGGCGCTGGCCCCATTTATCCACCAAAAATAAATGGTAATAATTATATTCTGTCCTGCTTCATTCCATGTATGCTCTGGTTCATGAGCCTCATGATATTTTCTCTTAAAATTCTCTTAAAATTGTTTTGTTTATAGAAAGTTTTAAACTTCTTAATTGAAAAGCTTGAATGGCTTGTTTAAAAGTAAAGCCTAATCTATTGTGTCTTACTTTCTCAATTCTTATTCTTGAAAAATGTTTTTGTGTCTCTACATATAATTTATATCAATTTCAGTATGGACATGCCTCATCTTGTTGTCCCAAAGGAAATCTCACAGGCCGGGCCGCCTGTGGTTGTGAGTTTCTAATTAATGTATAACATTATTCTCGACTCATTCCCAATCATCCATATGGCTCCCATAGAGTTCCTTAAATTTTCGGCAAATTTGAGCTGAAATTTTGCCAAAGTCTTGGCCTGGTCGAACAAATAATTGGTGCCTCCAAATTTGTAAGTGATGGATGATTTTGGAATAAAATGGCAAAATTCAACCACTTCCGCAAAATTTCGCCTGAAATTAGAATAATTTTCCATCTTCTTTTCAGATGAGTTTGTCATCTAAATCTGAAACTAATGAGGGTGTCCAAATTTGTACCTTAGATGTACAGTAGGTTGCAGGCAATTTTCATACGTCTCCAGTGGTTGGTTTTGTTTGGTGGAAGGGACAAAAAATGGTAGACTTGGACCTCAAAACACCAATGAAAACTACCCACTTCTTTAATATTTGTTTGTTTTCTTGTGCAATCGAGCGCCTGCCCATTCAAAAGGCTTGACCATATAGCAAAATATAATAGATGGGCAAGAGGACAACTCTCTCTTTCATGGTGTTATAAGATTTTTCTCTGGTAGAATGTAGCTTGAAGTAGAATGGATCTTTTTATGAAACTTTGGATTGGGACCTCTTTTGGGGTAGGTGGTGATTGGTTCTTGAATCTTTTTTTTCCTCACCATCTATTCTACAACTCAAGTTTTAATTTGAATTGACCCAATTCAGCTTTCCACTTTAAAGACTTGTTCTCTCTCTGCAAGATAATAGTTCCATTGTTGCCTTATCCTCTTTCTCTTTCACATACACACACACGTCTTTTGTTAACCAGCATTTGCTGCTTCAGTTCAGCATGCTTAATTTGAATTGAATCAATCTCTCTCATCTTTTATTAACCAACTTTTGTAACTTCAGTTCAATATGCTTAATTTGAATTTAATTAATTTAGCTTCCCCATTCAACTGCTATTTCTTTATGTGCAAGATGTAGGAACAAAGTCACCCTGCTCTCTCTCTCTCTCTCTCTCTCTCTCTGTGAAACCATGTCCTATGTCTGGTGTTCTAGTCCAGTACAATAAGCTCACCAACCTATTCTAGAGAAACCAGGTTCTGATTTCCCCTCAATATTTAACTTTTCCTATTAAAAGAAGAAAATGTTCTCTGACTGGTCTCAATGTTTATTTGTGGGTTCTCCTAATGTTTTACCTTGGCCTTTGAGAATTCAGGGTATTGAAATTTGAAGAGATATGGTTCATTTAGTGGAGCAAGGAGGAACACATGTTCCTCTTGGCTCTAGTCCCTGTGAAAGCAGACAATGGGGAGGACCAAGCCAGAGCCTAAGTGACTCAATCCAGTCACTTGTAGGGCTCAGGTCACACCTGACTTCTAGGTGGGCTGAATCTGTCTGCAATCTAATCAAGGAACACTCTTCTGAATCTCTGGCAACCCGTTCTCACTATGTAGCCTCAGACTCTTGTGAAAATGGGCAAGATGAAATGGGTGCAACAATTTCAAAGCTTCAAGGTATATTTTGTATTTTGTTTATCGAAATTAATTGAATTTGTTTCGTTTTCTTGTGTCTGAATTTCGGAACCACTCTCATGAGTTTCACATTAAAAGACTAAAACTCTCTCTCTCTCTCTCTCTCTCTGTGATAGGCGAGCTTGCTGCTCTCCGAGCCCAGGTGATTAATTTAAATTTAGAAAAAAGGCAGATTCTGCACGAGTTACTAGATTTGAAAGGTAATGGCTAGTAAGCTGTCTCTGTTCATGGGAATAAAGATTCATTTAAATTGGATAACCATTTCACCACCAGAAGAGGTGCTTAAAAATTTTCATCTAACACAGGAAACATCCGTGTATATTGCCGCATTAGGCCTTTTCTCAAGGATGAGGAATGCTACCATCAGGCATCAGTTGTATCCTCGGATTCAAACAAATTGCAGTTAAGAGTTGGTCAGAACAGGACCAAAGAGTACACTTTTGACAAGGTTTTTCACCCGGGAACTTCGCAAGGTGCTTGAGACCAGTATGTTGAATTTCTTATAATATGGGCATGCCAAATGTTACTACCCCAAGTGTTTTCTAAACATTATCGCATCATATGGGTTCATTCTTGAAAACCTGCAGATGAAGTCTTTGAAGAAGTAGAGCCGGTTATTAAGGCAGCTCTGGATGGGTACAATGTCTGCATATTTGCATATGGTCAAACAGGCACTGGAAAAACATTTACCATGGTAAGTTGCTGCTTCCTCCCCCAGTGGTTTTTTTCATTGTGATCTCCTGTTTTGTAAGTAACAGTTTCCAATATTTCATTGATGTAGAACATGGTGTTATCATAGTAAATTGAAAAGTTTAGCAGGATAAGGGTTTCATGTTAACATTTCTCAGGAGGGCAGACCAGATTGTCCAGGGGTAGTTCCTCGTGCAATTAAGACGTTGTTTAGTCTAGCATCTGATGGCAATCAAAAGATTGGGTTCTATTTCAGTATGCTAGAGGTTTACATGGGCAACTTGAGAGATCTACTCAATCCTCAAGTAGAAAAATCATCAAATTCTTCAGCCCAAAGGTACGAAAATATTCTCGCCAGATTGGAATTCTCTAATGAAATATCGGTTATATATAATGTAGTATCTCACACATGGAAATTTAGTGCTTACTTCAGAGTCCAGACTGTCATTTATCCTTAGAACTTGCTATGATTACTCATCTCCCTGTAGCTTGAATGAATTTGATAGTATCAAATTATATGAAGCTTCCAAAATATATCTTCCTGAAACTAAGCTTTAGACAATGATTATCATATGCTACAGCACTACTTGGGACTATGCATTGGTGACCGCAAAGGAAGAGGGATGAGGTATTAATTGTTTGAGTAATACTAAGAGTAGTGTTTGATTGCACGAACCGGATTCGGAAACCGGCCAAGGGCCAGGTCCGAGTAACTGAGAAACCAGCCGGTTCACTTGATCCTAGCTGGGACAAAAAGCGTTACAAAAAAAAAAAAAAACCTAAAAAATAATAAAAGTATATTTAAAGCATAATTAAACAAAACACATCAAAATGAAGTTGAAAAGTAGTGAAAAAATGGACTTTAAAAAATTGATTTTTGCCTAGGGGTATTTTAGAAAAAAATTTAAAAAGAAGGAAAAATGTAAAGTATCATGGACAAAACACTTTCCAATCTTTGCCAAAATGATAAAAAACATTAAAATATATTACAAATAAATCCCTTATTTTTGGGGATTTTATATATATATTTTTAATTTGTCTTAAATACCCAGCCGGACCACCCAAACCAACCAAAACTGGCTCGGCCAATGGCTGGTTCCAGTTTAACCGTTCAGTTCCGAGTCAACCGAACCAGGTTGTCGAACATTGAACAGGAGTATACCTAGTTCAAGACATGAGTGAATACCCTAGTTTATCTTCCTAAACCGCTGGGTTGTCGAACACTGAACTGGAGTTTACCTATTTAAGACATGAGCCTAGTTTATCTTCCTAAACCTTACAGTTTTTCTCTTTTTCTTTTGTAACTCTATTTGCAAGCATTTGTTTCATTTGTTTCTTCTTGTTTTAAAATCTAATTTTTGTTTCAACGTGCTCCAACAATTATACACTACAAAGATTTCATGCACAAATTAGCACCTAGTTCATTATGAGGTTTCGCAACAATATAGCTGACCTTGGCTCTCCTGACGCTTTTGTTTGCACAGTCTTTCTATCCAGATGGACCCCATGGGTGGCATTGAGATTGAGAACCTGGTAGCTATCCCAGTGAACGATTTTAACCAAGCAAACAAATTATATAAATATGGCAGACGGTTCAGATCCACAGCTTCCACAAATTCTAATGATACTTCAAGCAGATCTCATTGGTAAAGGGCAAACAACTCACCCTTCCGGCAAAAAAAAAAACAACAAAGATCAAACTTTTCAATTTCTAATGCAGGGATGATAAATTGGATAACCTTTTTATTTGTTGATGGGTGATAAAAACAAAATTAAATTATTAGTAAGAATTAAGTCACATTAACCATTTGTTTTAAGAAAATGTTAAAATTGGATAACTTTTTGTTCTGTGCAGCTTGATCCGCATCAGCATAAATTGTATTGATGCTCCAGAGAGACGACGGGTTGTCAACAAAATCTGGATGGTCGATCTTGGTGGGAGCGAACGCCTCCTAAAGACTCAGGCAACAGGGAAAAGACTTGAAGAAGGAAAGGCCATAAATCTCTCTCTCTCTGCACTTGGAGATGTCATCAGTGCTCTTCAAGAAAAGCATCCCCATGTTCCTTACAGGTATGTGATTAAACATAGAATCTCTCTTCACATTTGGGGTCTATCTTCATCATCCCAAAGATTACCAAAAGTTTTGCTTGAACTCTTTTTCTTATTTTATTGTATCTCTGAAACTTATTTGAGGATATTAACACCAAAATGGTACCAAATATATTGCCAAGCCACATTGTTTCGTAAAAACAACATAAGATCAAAGAGAAACCAAAATTCTGAATCGCAACCATTTTTCAATGTTGTTTGTCGAGATGCAACATTTTTCGACATTCTCACCTGGAATTGAATCTTTTGGTCAAGACAATAATTGTTGTAAACCAGCAAATCTGAACCTAGTTTGAAACTATTGCAAACATGAAAGGAAAACTAAACGTTAATAAATGTTGAGATATTGCTTTTGCAGGAATAGCAAGCTTACACAACTGCTGAGGGATTCTCTCGGTATGTATCAGATTTTCACTTTCCCATTCTCCTGAAAGTCTTTCTTATTTGTGATTCCAAACATCAACGGAAATTCAATTAGAAGATTGATGAGCCTATATATAATCACACGGGCCAATATACAATCACACATCGTTTCTTTTGCAGGAGAGGATTCAAAGACCCTAATGCTTGTTCATATAAGTCCAAACGAAGCCGACTTGGGCGAGACAATTTGTTCCTTGGGTTTTGCAACACGAGCAAAACAAATTCGCCTCGGGCGTGAGGAATCTTCTGTAAGTGAACAATAAACCCAAATTTAGTTTCTAATATTTTCTTCCACTTTATGACATCTATTTAACCTAACAGTGCATCTAGAAAGAAGCCCTTATCACAGCTACTGATGTAAATAATGTTCACATGAATCTGTGTAAGAAACCCAAGAAAGCAAATCATATAATACTCTTAGATTATAAAGTAATATGAAAAGAAAGTCCTTGAGCGAGCTGTTTATGATATTTGAATTCCATTAATATTACTAATATATTCAGTCTGCTGATACGAGCAGGGAGCAAGAGCTGAGAAGGAAGCAGCAATGGCTGATCTGCTACAGAAAATGAGATATCTAGAAGATAAATCTCAGGATATCAAACAATCAATCCAAAAGGCTGAGTTTGTTTTAAATGAAAGCTTGAAACGTGATGGAAGACTGGAACCACATTTAGCTGAGGAGGAAACTGAGACTATGATAGAGATGGAAAAGTCCAAGATAGGAAATGTTGTATGCCCATCATTAAAGTTGCCTAGATTCATGAGACCGACAGAATGTAGCAGACAAAAGTATGGCTCAGATTTCTTCAGCTATATGGAGAGTTCAACAAAGAAAGAAAGACCCCATGTTGCCAAGAAGAAGCATCCCTCAAGTGTGAAATCTGCAACTTACCCATCAAAAGCTAAATCACAGTCGGAGCTCAGCACATCCAGGAGCAGCTGCTTAGTGGGTTTGAACTGGAAATCAAGTATGGGTTATGAAACAGACTACAGTAATGGTACATCAGAATGTGAAGTAAAAAGAGTAGTCTTTCCTTTGAATGTGAAGGCACAGAGAAATTATTTTGAAGGAGATTTAGCTAGTGAAAATTGGCCTAGCCAAAAAGATAAGCGAACTAATAATTACACTTCCCGAAGGAAAAGGGTGCTTGCGATACCAGTACCAGGGGACAGGAGGAATGGTGATCCACAGGTTAAAATGATAAACAAAATGAAAGGGAATCTACCAAATTTTCATGGGGAAACTATGGAAATGTCTTTGAACAACAGCTTGGATGTGAGGGATGCAGATAAGGCATATGAAGATCTCTTTGAAAATAAATATTCAGAACCATCATCTGGTAATGTATCCGAAGAGAATATGGTTCAACTATTACATAAAGTTGGGGAGACAAAAAGATCTCCAATGCAACAAAGAACAGATAATAACCAATGTTCTACAGATGGTCTTGTGGTCAAGTTTAATGGGCTGAACCTTACTTGCCCGCCAAATGTAGTGGAGAACTTAAGCCAGAATGAACAATTCCATGAAGTTGCTCAGAATCTTGAGCCGCGTGAGAAAGGTCAGATTCAACCAACGGGATTATCTCATAAAATGGAGGTTGGGTTGGTAAAAGTTAGACTTCTTGACAGGAAAGAGAAAAAGGAAGATCTTCCTCAAGAGTTCAAAGAAGCAGAAAATAATAGTAAGGAAGCCACATGCCATTCTCCTGCTCATTTTGATGTTGCTAACCTACCAGATATTGGCTTCAAAGAGAGAAAAGCATATCCAGGTGAAGCAGGGACCATCTAATTCTTTATTTTTCTTTTCTTTTTTTTTTTGGTCTTTTTGAGTTAACATGTAGAGTGTTCATATAGAAGACACTAATAAGATCCAAACTATTACTTACAGCCAGAAACAAATAAGAATTATTAACATGACTATGCTGGATACTGAGATTTCTTGGGAGTAGACATCCAGGGAATGAGACATCAATTTTTTGATCTTACAGTATGTTCTGCATTTTGTTTTCAGGGTTTTGTTATGTTTTTGGTCAGACAGTTCGTGGGTTTTGGGGAAGTCTCCTTCTTGGGCTGGGGATTCAAGGCCTGGGATTTGGAGATGAGTTTTACCATGGCCTCCAGTTCTGATGAAGCCTGGCCTGAATTAATGCAACAATTTGCCAGGTACAATGCCATTCTATGAAGAATCCACTGGATCCTGTCCCCAAGTGAATTCACAAATATTATACCTCTGTGATTTATGTTTGTAAATCTAGGTAAGTGAAGGGTTGATAAAGACACCAATTTTTTGATAATTGACATTATTTTTTTCTAACTTTTGACTAAACAAACTTTGATGGATGTGTTAAATTAACAGTCTTTCCCAGAACTTGAGCAGGAAATGATTCCGGGTCCATAGGAAACGGGCTTGGGTCAAGATGGTAGAGGCTAGGTTTCATAGCCCAACATCTCAAGTTTAATTCCTCTATAACCTTGTCAAAAAAAAAAAATGATGATTCCTGATCCAATAGATGAGGAATGGGCTCAAGGCTAGGAGGGCAGGGTGGTGGGGTGCCACAACATGACGTCTTGAGTTCCAATCTTAGCACGGGTAGGGGATCCCTTCCCTGCTGAACTCCCCCACCCCCCAAAAAAAAAACAAAGAATATGACAATTAATGAAGCCTGAAATACAACAGAAATGTATACACATTTTCACTCAGTCACTGCTTTTTAGAACAAGTTACTGCAGATGGTACAAATGGACTGGTTTTGGTTTAGATCAAATTTCATGTGAAGAATCACCTTTGGAACTTTGTGGACTACTCTGCATGGTTTCCATTAGCCTGGACTAATATTGATAGCTAGTTCCTGTTCTGGTTCTTGTTTTGGAATTAGGGATGAGAGGCATTGCAGGTGAACTATAAAGGAGAAGAGTCATATTGTCTATTGATTCATGAACTCATGAAGCCCGTCATTATATATATATATATATTTTTTTTTTTGGGTAAGTAGCCCGTCATTATATGTGTTGAGTGCCTGTGTGAATTTTTATCATTTTTTTATTTTTGAAACATAAAAATAAAAGGGAATCAGTGTAAATCAAGGCAACATGGATGTCTGTGTCAATCGCAACATTTTAGAACTCAATTACAAAAATTCTATTACACCCATCAGGTCATCACCTTCTACTTCAGAATATGAATACAAACTTTTATGCTAATTTCATTGTTTATCCTATGCAAATACACCTCCATAACATGCACAAAGGGAGGACATTTTCCATGATATATATTGTCCTAGGCCATTATTAAATACATACATGCAACTGGAATCGGAGAGTGTCATATGAATATGGTTAAAAGATTTACATTAAATATTGAGAAAAAAATTTGAGGTTACACCGGCATAAGGCAACATACAGAACTTGAGATTGAACCCTACAAACCTTTTCTACAAAATCCAATACAAAGCCTTTCACCTCACTTGAAAGAACATTGCACAATTTGTCAGGACAGATTGCATCAAGTGGAATCACAATAAACTAGTTATCCCTTACATGAATAGAGAAGAGAAAAATAAAAACTAGTTAGGCTCATGAATGCTCGAACCCAAGGAATCACCTCAAAGGACTAAATGACGAATCTGAGAGCCTGACCACCCAGCATGAGATGAGTAGTGACTATCTCCTCACCCCTCGCCAACTGTCGGATACTTAAGGAATGTATCCTGCCATCTTTAACTGCCCATTGATTTCAGCTAGAAGTTCGAATAAATCCTTAGTGTTAGGGTGTGAATCGTCCCCCACAACAAACTCATGGACAATGCCATTCACCTCGATCGAACTGCCTCCGGGCATCTTCTTCACCCCTCTATCTCTCATCAACCTCCTGACTTTGCCCACTTCATCCCATCTCCCTAGTGATGCATATATGTTTGATAAAAGGATATAATTCCCACTGTTATGGGGCTCAACCTCAATTAGATGTTTAAGTGCTAGCTGCCCAAGCTCAACGTCATTATGAACTCTAGATGCTGATAGTAAGGCCCCCCATATCGCCCCATTCGCTTCATATGGCATCTCTCTAACGAGCTCTCGTGCCTCTTTTAGCCTCCCGGCTCGCCCGAGAAGATCAACCATACACCCGTAGTGCTCAATTTTAGGCGAAATGCCATACTTTGAGATCATTTTATGAAAGTAACCCCATCCAGCCTCTACCATTCCCATGTGGCAACAGGCAGATAGGAGCGCAATAAAGGTAACATCACTCGGCACCAGACCCACCTGCTCCATTTGAGAAAACATTGTGAGGGCTTCTTCACCGAGCCCGTGAAAAGCCAAGCCGGCAATCATGGTAGTCCATGTTATCACACTCCTTTGAGGCATCTTTTCAAAGACTTCCAATGCCTTATCAATATGGCCCGATTTCGCATACATGTCAATAAGCGCATTGATTAAAGGCACAATTCTGTATAATCTATGCTTGTCTATGTAGTTATGAATCCATTGCCCGAGATCAAGTGCCCCCATTTGGGCACAAGCCGATAGAACACTGAGCATGGAGATCTCATCGGGTTTCACATTCGACAGTTGCATTCTCCTAAAGAGCGAGATCGCTTCGTTAGAGCGGTTCATCTGGGCATACCCAGAAATCACAGCAGTCCATGAAATAACATTCCTCTCATCCATCTGTTCAAAAATCTCATGGGCCGTATCGATATCTCCAAGTTTTGCATAGCCAGCAATCATAGCATTCCATGAGATCAAATCTCTATGAGACATTTCATCGAACAATCTTCTAGCATCCAACAGAACACTACAATTTGAGTACATATGAATGAGACCTGTTTGGACATGGACATCTGATCCAAACCCGACTCGAATGACTTGGGCATGAATCTCTCTCCCCTCTTTGATGGCAGACAGGTGGGCACAAGCTTTGAGCACGAAAGGGAAAGAATAGGTGTCTGGACTGAACCCCATGAGCCGAATTCGATCGAACAAAACGATCGATTCTTTGGCGGAGTGGGATTGAGAGAAGGCCCTGATCATGGTGTTGTAGAGATAGATATTGGGGTCTTTCTTGAGAGAGAAAAGAGTGTAGCCATGATTGAGATAGCCCAAGAGAGAGCAGGTGCTTATGAATTTACTTACAGAAAGGTTGTCATGATCCAGGCCCCTCGGGATCATGAATGCATGTGCTTGGTTCAAGTGGGTCATGCATGAGCACTTGTCCAGTAGTAAAGAGAGAAAGTATGGCGAGTAATGGGCTTCTCTGAATATAGGTCGAAGCATTGGGTGTTCGTCTAGAGAGAGAGAGAACGGAAAAAGACTGGTTTGAAAACTGCATCGTAACGCCGCTACTCTCGACTCGAGGCGCTTGATTCATTGGAGAGTGGTTCTAAAACTTAGACATGATAGAGAAGCTGCACAAATTACCCAAAAGAAATAGAGAACCTGCATGGCAACTTTAATCGTGATCTCTCTCTCTCTACATTTTACAGTAACTCTCTAGAATTTCTACGTGGGCTCTCTAGAAATTTTACATGGGATTGTAATTCTACGTGGGTTCTCTAGAAATTTTACATGGGATTGTATACAATGAGAGCACTTAGATTGTATACAATGAGAGCACTTGCCTTTTGAACAGGAGGTCACAATTATTTACAATCATCGGATGTAAAATCTGATAGCTTAGGATGTTTTATAAAGTTCGAAAAAATGTCTTACTTCAAGAAGTGGGCTAGTGCTTTGAGCTTTGAGAAGTTTAGGTGCCCTCAAATCCCCATCTTGTTGGAGTCTCTATTTTCATTTTGAGATTGTCTATAAAGAGACCATATATCTTTTTTACGTAGAAATCACAATCATTTTCACTCATTAGATGTTAAATTGGATGGCTTGGAATGAGTCATATAATCCAATGATTTTTTTTTGTACATAAAAGTCACGATCATTCACACTCATTAGATATCAAATTGGATAGTTTGATGAGAGTCATGTGGTCTGATATTTTTTAAAAAAAAAAACTTTGTGTCTATTGAATGACGCTCTTACAACTACTCGTTTTGAAATTTAAGGGATAAATAATGATTGTGCCCTTTATGTATAAAAGATAAATAATATTTTTATAGACAATCCCTATCTTTAAACACCTAGTGTTATTTTGTATTCCTATTTCATCCTTGCTTATAAGCTCCATAACCAGCCATTTTCTAACTTGACAAAAAGAAAAGAAAAAAGAGATGCCTAATAGGGAAAAGGACCCTGTTTCTATGAGTCCATGTAGATATGAGGCATCTCTTAAAAAGTTATTTTTGAGATGGATTTTTTTACTTAATTTTTAAGGACATGTAATATCTAATATGAAGATCATGAATATAAAAAAAATAAATAATTTTGAAAAATATAAAAAATAATTCTATTAAAAAAAACATTTGGACCGTTAGTTTCAATTGTTTTTAGATGGACCACCTGTTTACATCCAACTGTAAGATGAATGCTTTATACCTATGGCCAGCAGATGTAAAAATGCGGCCCAGCACGCATGAAACAATTTTCCTAGAGAAAATAATAAGCTTTTGTTTTTAGAGGTAGAACTGCAACTCATCACCAATGTCCAGCTTTATAAGGGATGGAAGATGCCCTTATTGTACAATGTATGATGGTTTTATAAAAAAGATAAATATTTTGTAAAACTATAGCTTTTCAAAATTGAAGTTTAGAATTCGTTTGATAACATAGTTTTTGTGTCAAAAAAACTTGCAAGTTGGTCATCTCTATTTCAAGGACCATAGATTTTAAAAAGTCTTAAAAATAAGTTATCTTGCAACACTTTTTTTTTACACCATCTATTTCTATTGTTAAAAAATGCACCTAATCAGCTCCAATGGTGGAGTTTCAAATTCTACAGTAATTGATGAAAATGGAATTGTGGGCCATAAGAGAGTTCTTTTGGTACCAATCTAATTTTATTCTGATAGTTTTTTGAGATGCAGGTTTACCAAGGACATGATCGTTTGGAAATTGAATGGGACACCTGGCTTATACAATTTGGTTCACAAACGAAATCCAAGACGAACGAGGAGGGGATGGGAGAGAATTTGAAATTAATATATTTGGGAGAACTTAGGATGTGGCTCCAATAAGTGATAATATGCGAGAAAGTAAAAGTAGGTGGCCTGGCTATGTACAGCGGTGGGCTGGCTATGTACAGTACATGCATAGTACAACACCTGTTAGGAGGTTGGAGTTAGATCAAGTGAAAAACTCAAAAAATGCAAAGGATAGGCCCAAAAGTATATGGTTGAAAATAGTGAAAAATATAAGGACTTACGGCCTCATTGAGTGTATGGCTCTTGATAGAGCAGAATGGTGGATCAAGATTAGTATAGCCGGACCTTAAATAATTAGGGAAATACTCTGATGCTGATGATAAAAGATCAAAACCAATATTTGACCAGTTGGTCTAACATATTGGACCAACAATTTCACTTGATTTGACGTGAACCCTCAGAAAATTTCTACTAATCTCTTAAGATTCTTATCATTCTTATTTTTATTAGATTTCTTAATCCCTTTCCCCAAAAATGCTAAAACGCCTCTCATTCTCTCTCTTAACCAAGGACAAGATACCTTACCCATATTGGCAAGGGATATAAATGGGTGACTTTTTTCTTTTCCTTTTTCTAGTTTCCTTATCATATTGCTATTTTTTTCTTTTTTTTTTCCTTCTCCAAAACCGTAAATAGAGAATAGAGAACCAAACTAACTGGTTTACTCGCTACACCAAACATAAAAGGTACATATCTTAGCTCACTATGCTACATAGGTACAACAATATGGATATCCACCATTCATTGTCCATGATGGATGGTGAGGATTAATAGTAATGCTCAATGTTTGACATATGCCCTAATGACATATAAATAAATTTACATGTTAATATCAAAATTAGTTTTTTAGACATGACACGTCTATATATCATCTAAAAAAAATATAAGATTTTAGGTTGAATTAAATGCTTCTATTATTGCCAATCAAATTTGCAAAATGACGAATGAAGTGAATGCTCTTTCTTGTTAAATGACCCTGCATAAATATAAGGAGAAGGTAAAAATATTGAGGAAAACTATGTTAATATACTTAGGAAATATCAATAGAAATGTTAAACTACTTTGAAAGATCATTAATAGCACACATGCCATTGGTTTTTCTAAACATTTTGTCATTAAAATTAGTTGTTTTGGCCTGAACCTACAAACCCAACAAGCAAAATACTCATGTTAATTGGCTTGACCTAAGAGGGCTGAGGCAAATGACAAAACTACCCATGCTGGGTCCTAGAATATGTGCGTTTTCATTAAAATCAATTGTTTAAAATTTGAAATCTAAAACCCCTGGAGGTATTTTAGTAATTTGGCCCCATTTAATCATAGATCAAATTACCAAAATACTATATTTATTCCAAATTTCAAACCATGAACGAATATATTCTAAGCAATTAAAAAAATGTCTGTGATAGCATTTAGGAATATTTTATTAGTACATAAAATAGTTTGATAGCTTTGCAGCTCTATTAAAAAAAGTAAAGTCTCACCTCATAACTCATCGAAAATTGTAATTCAAGAATTACAAATATTTTAAATAAACTATCATGGCTTGAATATTATGGTCGTAAAAAAAAAAAAAGGATTTCAAGCTCTAAAAATAGTGTATATTATAACAAATTATATAGACCGTCCATTTCCTCTTAAAAATAAGTGTTCATATATTTTCAAGATTTGTAGTATTTTTTTAATATCAAATTTCATTGTTTGTGTTGAAAATTGATTTTAGAACCATCATAGAGACATCTGTTGCTGAAAATATTTTTTAGACTAGGATTTGATGTGAGGCTTTATTTTGCTTTCATATAGCCTAGGCCTTATACAAACCTCATCTGATAGGGCCTTGATTATTTTGAGGCAGCTAGACCATGTTAATTTCATGTTCACCAAAAGCAAAACATGCCACGAAAAAAGTCCTTTGACATGGAAGCTGGACGTGAGAGCGAGTGAGCTTTAAAATTTAGAGAGAGAGAGAGAGAGAGAGAAAATGGGAGCCGGCGAGTTAAAGAGCGAGATATATGGCAGCAAGCGAGTTTAAATAGAGAGTGGTGGCAATGGAGCTCGTGCCAACTCGAGACTCGTCGAGTATATTCGATAGGGGTTTGGGTATAGGTTTAATATTTGGAACCGACGGGTTAGGTTTAGATCCAAAATCTGAGCCTGAGCATTATGCAGATCCGATTGGACCCGACGCGTACTCGTATACCGATGGAAATAAAATACTTCAAGCTTTATTCATTTAAGTGTAGTAAGGATCATATATAATAAGAAGTTGTAGTGAATTTTAGTTAATAAACCACAAATCAGATAGCTTGAAATTGAACGACAGACCTTGTTGCTAATAATATAAATATATGAGCGTTAAAAATGGTAAAAAAAAAAAAAAACTTATAGTAAAGGTGGCAATGGACCCGACTGGACTTGATGACATAGATTCAAGACCGGACACATCTAGATATAGGTCTAACTTTTGAACCTAAAAGATTGCATCCGGGTCCAAAATTTAGACTGAAATTCTATTTAGATCTGAATTCATATCCAAAATTTGAACCCAAATACTATTCGGGTTTGGGCCGGGGTCCAGCCGGTTGCCACCCTTAGATGGGAGGCAGCGAGTTAAAGAGCGGAGCAGTGAGCGTTAAAATATTTGGAAAATCAAAGATGGAGAGAGAAGCGGAGAAATGGGAGCCTAAAAAAATAAAAAAAAAAAGGAGAGAGAGAGAGATGAAATGGAGGAGTGAGAGAGAGAGAGATAGAGAGAGAGAGAGAGTGATGAAGAAGGAGGAGGCGTGGTCAAACGCCACCACGCTTAACTCTCCTTGCTACAACCCGCACAAAACGAACAACAACCCTTAGAAGAGAGAGAGAGTGAGACCAACAAGCGACCCTCTCTCGCTTTCTCTCTCTAAAAACAAATCAATGATGTTCAGAGAATTAGGGCGAGATCGATCGAGCTTGTGAGTAATTAGTAGCAGCAGGGCAAGGGCGAGGAGTATGGCCATGGAAGGTTCAGGGGGAAACGATGTGGAGCTGGTGTGTAAGACCCTACAGGTGGAGCACAAGCTCTTCTATTTCGATCTTAAGGAAAACCCTAGAGGAACTTACCTCAAGATTTCTGAGAAAACTTCGGCTACCAGGTCAACCATTATCATACCAGTCGATGGAGTCCCATGGTTTCTCGATCTCTTCAATTACTATGTCAATGACCGCGATGCTTCCAGTAAGGAGTTGCAGTTGAAGACTAAGGTTTGCTCTCTCTCTGGAGCTTCTCAATTTCTGGGTTTTCTTTCTTGAAAGAATTGCCTTTGAATTTGGAGATTTTTTAAGGGGGATCTGTAATTTGGTGCTTTTTGTTTCTATGTTGTTTCAGGTATTTTACTTTGACATTGGAGAGAACAAGCGAGGAAGATTCTTGAAGGTAATTCTGATTAATCTCTGCTCATTTGGTGCTTCAATTTTTTTTTTTAGCAATCGTGTACTGAAATTGCCTCCATCTTCTGGATGTTCCTTTCGTTATGAATTCTTTTTCCCATATTTGTCTCGATTTTCGATTTACTTTTGTTTCCATGTCATGAATATCTGCTCAATTTCTCAGAGATCACTCCTTTAATATTCTACTTAGGTATATTGCTTTCTAAAAATTGCTTGACTTGTTTTGATGCTTTTATCATGTGCAGATCCCTTTGTTTCCTGACTACTTAATTTAGCTAGTATCCATTCTAAATGATAAATTTGTTGCAATTTGAAAATATGTTATAGATTTTAAGCTGGGGTCACATTCTAATCTGAGATTGTCCCCTCTAGTTCTTGTTATTCTTGGGTTCAATTTTCAAATTATGACTTATGAGAGCAGGTCCACTGCAAAGCTACTTACTGCATGTGTCTTTTACTACTTACAGATCTGAGTATTGTACAAGTTTAGGTCTTATGACTATTGGTCTGTATTGGATAAATCCAAAACAGTTGTTCTTGTTTATGTAGGACTTGAGGTGTTTAAAATCTATGAACATTGGATGGACAGACAGACAATGGGTGGACTTTTCTAGTCTATTTTTAGAACATGTATTTACTGCAAGGTGCATAGTGTATACCTATTTTGGGTAACTCGTGAAAGCTTGGTAGGTGCTTAGATGACGCTGCTTTCATTCACTGCAGAGTGCAGACTTTGGCGAAACTCATTTTGGCTTGTCAAAACAAATATGCCCTTTGTTTTCGATAAAGCCTTGTTTTTCTGTTCATGATTAGTTTATTTTGGTTGATTCATATTAAGATCAAAAGAAGTAAAGTGATAGTTGAAACTTCAAAGTTGGCGGGGAAAAGGCAATTTTGATCAATTCTAACACCCCTAGATTATATTACCTATCTTATGTCTTCATCTACTTGGACTTGTTGGGCATTCTCAATGCAAAAATGCAGTGTGTGATATACTGTAAATAGCCCCTACATGATCATATGAATGCCAAGATCTACTTCCATGATGGATCAGAATGCAATATGTCTACTGCTGTTTAATGCCTCGAGTAATGGAGGTAGCATTCCATTCTGTAGACCATGTCCAGTAGATTGAACAGCCCCACCATCCTTTATCTTGAGTAGCCCCTTGGAACTAGCATCCCTTGGATTATCCTTGCCACCTTGGGGTCACCATAGAATTTTTTTATGGTAGGGATATCAACAGTTTGTTGTAAACTCTTTTCGGACACAAGAAGATTGCTTACCATGGTGATCCTGGACCCACTCTGTGTGCTTGCTTTTAGTTGGATGTTCTCATGCAACAAAACTCTTATGGGAAATCACCTTCCAATATACAGCCTCTTGTTTGCATGCATGTGCTTCAAGTGTAGTGAGGATGATGAAATGGTGGACCATAATTTGCTTGCCTGCTGCATTTCCCTTTGTTAGGTAGATCCTTCCTAGATCTTTTATGTGTACTTTGGGTAATGTTAGGGATAGTTTCTGTTTGCAACCCTCATGACTTGCTGGCTGTTGGTTATCAATTAGACTAGGTCTCAGTGGTCAAAAGTTGACATTGAGTTGAAGCATGAGTGGCTTGGTGTTTGGGGCTTCAAGCCTTCAAAGGTCCAAAGAGGAGTACTAGCTAGGACTGCAAGTGTGAGGGTTTGAGTTCTAACCAGCCTGATCAATAACCCAAGGGCTGACCTGGGGGCATCATGGGCTTAATTGCAAGGAGTGAAGCTATAGACTAGAAGTCAGTCTCAACTGGCCCCATGTGTAGATCTATGGGAAAGTGAAAACCATGCGGTAAATATTCTATGTTTGTCCATCATAGATCTCATTTGATAAAGGAAGGCTTTCTATTTTCATCAACAAATCAAATGGTAGAGAGAAAGTTTGCATCTGTGTTATATTGGAAAAAGAAAGCATGAGAGATCTTACCACAATAGGGAAAATATGAGGACGGATAATTTCTTTGACTAAAAGATGTATCAACACGGTCTTGTGTGTCAACATGATAGGTACTTGTATATAATATAAACTAAACTCTTTGACTAAAATATGTATCAATACGGTCCTGTGTGTCAACATGGTAGGTACTTGTATATAAGATACAATACTTTTCATTATATGTTCGTGATGGGAATGTGGTGAATTAGTAAGGACACAAATAAGGAGGATAATACAGCCTAAGCCCAAGGTTCAGGCTGGGTCGGGCCTAGGCCGAACAACCTGGACCCATGCCCGTCCAATTTTATAACATTAGGCTCCATCAGGCCTTATGGGTCATTGCATGGGACCCAAACCTGGCCTGTAAAGCCCATTACAGGCCATACCTACTTGGCCTATTGGCCTGGCCTCGCCAACTTTCAGCCCTTTTTCGGTTATGCTACATTGACTGTGACTTTCAGCCCTACTACCAGCTTTATTTATAAATTTGGATGCTTTTCTGGCTTCTACATCAAAACCTGTCAAGGCCTGCTGCATTGAGCATCTTTTCATCAGCAATACAGGCTTTTCTATTTCAGCAGATTTTGGCTACTTTTGAGAAGCTTTAGAAGTATGGATGGGAGCCAAACTGCTGGTGTTGTATGTTTGCTTCAGTATGATTGATCTGCTGACCTTGTTTGAAGGTGGAGGTTTCCTCATTATCCTCTCCAATGGGTTTGTGTTTGACCCTGACAAGTGCTCCAAGCATTGATCCTTGGCAGCTGGTTTGGATGCTTTTGTTATTTTCCATGGTTATTGAAGATGAAGTTGTCGACGGTGACTCATGAATCTGTTTGGATTCCACTTGGGTTTTACCTATTTGTCCATTATCCTCTGTTTTTTATGAGGTTTTTCGGATGGTTCTTCTCTTGTTTGTATGGATTCTCTTGAGGGGCATTGTGTTGAGTTATGACCCAACTGCTTACACTTCCTGCAGAGTTTTAGCATCTCATGTGTTCAATGATTGCATAAATCATTCTAATGTTCTCCCAGATATTAGTGGTTTGGGTGGTATCAGGCATCATGTCCACACAGATACAGCTGCACTCCACCTGTTTCTCGTCTCTCGAGGCGTTGTTCATGGAAATTGGGGGTCCATAGAGACATTGCAATGCTGCCTAATAAATGTTGATCAATAGATAATGCGTAAAATCAAGTAGCTTGGCCCAAAATGTGTGTAGACCTGATCTTGGATTTAGGTAACTCAATATGAGGGTTTTATTCTCTCAGTATCAAATATCACCCTCTAATGATCCATGGACCTCCACTTATAGCTGTTTGTAGATCTTCATAAAGATCAAAGGGGAAGTGAGCGTACTTGCCAGCCTTAGATATGGTATCGAAGTAGCCTTTAGCCTTCCATATGTTGGGCATTTTTCACACCAATATGGACCATTGAGGTAGTTTTTCATGGAAATTTCCAAAGTTGCCTTCCTAATGCAGCCCAGAATGCTGCCCTCGAGTATCTAGACAAGAGAGAGAGACTTAAAGTTTACAAGAGGAACGACATAAGGGCAAATTAGTCATTGAGTCTATCATTTTTTGTCTTTTATTTATTTCTCGAGTCTTAGCCGACCCCAATTAATTGGTTAAAGGCTATGATGATGATGATGATGATGATGATGATTTATTTCTTGAGCCTTTTTATTAACTTAGGGGCATAAGTAGTAATTTTTAGAGTCTTTTGTGTTTTTTTATCTACTTGAAGTCTTTTCTAATAAAGGCCATGATTAGATTAGATGGATAGCTAGGATTAAGTCTTGTTTAGACTTTTCTTATATAAAGGATGTACTCAAGCACAATGGATGATCATGTTATGGACTTTTATTTAAAACGCTAGCGCAGCAAGTACTCCTCCTTTTACCTCTAGGTTTTTATCTTTCTCCATTTTTGGATCGTCCCTATCTTCTTCTTTGCTAAACCCTAGCTCTAAGCTATTAGGTCTGGGCTAGGTTGGTATAAGAGCCAGACGATCAGTAAGGATGGTACTGTAGCACAATACTGTAGCATCGATTTTTGTTCCCTAGATCAACAACCATGCCTAAGAAGGAGGAAAAGCGAGAACCTTCGAAGCAATTGATGCTTGTTCGCAAGAAGGGATTGCAAATATGAGAAGATTAGTCGCCCTAGCTCTGTGTTTGGCACAGATGGAAGTCCCATCTCAGGAGTATGAGATCAAGGCAGATGAGGTGTCCATAAATCTCTTCCACGATCATGCTTCAAGGAGATAGGTAGTGGATCAGACAGATAGAGATAGTAAGAGGTGGGAAACCAGTCTCGAGGTTGAGATCCTAGAGTTTTATGGAAGTCTATCTGAGGAAAACCATGGAGAAACTTTGTTCTAATCAAATGGTTCTCAAGATCAGCGTGTTATGGACTGGGACTTACTGCCAGTCTTTGACAAGTATCTGGATGAAGATTTGGGTGTTGAGAACAAGTTGGTGATCATAGCTTTAATGGTGATCCAATCTTTAGCAAGGAACGTTTTGATGGAGATAGTGATCATGTCTTTGATAGTGATCCCATCTTTGATGATGATTTGATGGGTAAAAATCCCTATGGGGAACAACAAGGCGAAGAAAAGGGGGATCAAGGAGATGATGGTGGCAGTACGGATGTTGTTTTCTTGATGTCCTACCTGAATATCGTGTGAGGTGCACCCCAAGGGTTTGATGATATTTTCGTATGAAATTTTTGCTAGTGAGTTCAATTTAGAAGGTGGCCTTCGAATGGTTGCTTATATGATTCCTAATATTGGAGTTCAGCTTCAACCATTATTTTATTTTGAGTGGACAACCTCGATATCTAAACATTATCTGTGAATTGAAGGAAATCACAGGGCTAATGCATGATTAATCTTGAGCCGCTTCAAAATTCATGGTGGAATATTCTTTGATGTGTTCAGGACCAAGTGTGTTGTGCTTATGACTACAAGTATGTCATTTCTCAATGGGCCCAAAACGTGATTAATCT